ATAGTCTGAAATAAACATTACTGACTTAAACAGAATGGAAAAGTATCTCTGTGGGTCCTGCTGGTCCCTGACTCAGGCTCCTCCTGGTCCCTGACTCAGGCTCCTCCTGGTCCATGGACTAATGTTATTTTTTCATCACTTTCTTCTTCGTCTCCTGTAGAAGCTGAACTTTCATATTGATCTTGATTATTTTGGCCCCAGGGAGGGGAAGGAGGGGGAGGGAGGGGGGTGGGAGAGGAGGGGAGGTGGTCTTGGGGGGAGGGGAGGGGGAGGTGTGAGCAGAAAGAGCCTGAGGCGTCTCTGCTCTTTCCCACACTGTGCTCATGTTCAGAGGAGACTCTTTTTCTTTATCAACAAATGATTTTGATGAAATAAAATTTACACAAATATATATTTTTGTGAAATTATTAAATATTTAATTAATTATTAAAAATCCACTTCACATCAAGACCTACGGAATAGCACACCAAAAAATTTATAGCAGAATTTTTGTATCTCATTATTTTGTTTTAATATTAAATAATTATAATCAAATAACCCTAAAATATCCCTCATCAGGCCCTCATCAGGCCCTCATCAGGCTCTCATCTGGCTCTCATCAGGCCCTCATCAGGCCCTCATCAGGCTCTAATCAGGCCCTCATCAGTCTCTCATCAGGCCCCCATCAGGCCTTCATCAGTCTCTCATCAGGCCCTCATCAGGCCTTCATCAGGTCCTCATCATGCTCCCATCAGGCCTTCATCAGGCCCTCATCAGGCTCCCATCAGGCCCTCATCAGGCCCTCATCAGGCTCCCATCAGGCCCTCATCAGGCCTTCATCAGGCCCTCATCAGGCTCCCATCAGGCCCTCATCAGGCCCTCATCAGGCCCTCATCAGGCTCATTACTATTTTTATTTTATTTTATTTATTTATTTAAAAAGGGACAGTGGTACAGTACAATTAGAAGATAAATGTTTCCATTTGATGCATTGTACCGGAGTTAGCCTGAGGCTAATTAGCCGTAGTCCCCCGGCAGGAAGAGCACTCCACGTACAGGCGAGTATAACAACACAAGCACATACCATAAAATACACAAGTTTATTATATGACTCGGACCGTACGCGCGCTCTGATTGGCTGATTAGTGGTCGATATTTTCCCATCTCAGACCGTTACCATGACAATTGGTCCGAACAGTGCGTATCACATTTGATATCTTTCCTGAGTTTCCTCGGTAAAAAAGAAATAATGGGCGACAACTGGGAGCATTCTTGGACGAGTTTGACGAGTTTGACGAGTTTGACGAGTTTGACGAGTTTGACGAGCCAGAGGAAGAAATTACAGAAAATAACGAAGAAAAAATAACTAACTCACAGACAAAATGAGATTGACAACTTCGTTACAGACCAGAAAGCTAATAACACTATTAGGAAAACCAAGTTGGAGATCGATATTTGCATAAATTAAAAATTAAGTAAAAATAGTCATATAATAAAACATTTATTAACCTCGCTCGCTTGGTCTGTGCATTAAGGCTCGGTCTGTGCATTAAGGCTCGGTCTGTACATTAAGGCTCGGTCTGTACATTAAGGCTCGGTCTGTACATTAAGGCTCGGTCTGTGCATTAAGGCTCGGTCTGTGCATTAAGGCTCGGTCTGTACATTAAGGCTCGGTCTGTGCATTAAGGCTCGGTCTGTACATTAAGGCTCGGTCTGTACATTAAGGCTCGGTCTGTGCATTAAGGCTCGGTCTGTGCATTAAGGCTCGGTCTGTACATTAAGGCTCGGTCTGTGCATTAAGGCTCGGTCTGTGCATTAAGGCTCGGTCTGTGCATTAAGGCTCGGTCTGTACATTAAGGCTCGGTCTGTACATTAAGGCTCGGTCTGTACATTAAGGCTCGGTCTGTACATTAAGGCTCGGTCTGTGCATTAAGGCTCGGTCTGTACATTAAGGCTCAGTCTGTGCATTAAGGCTCGGTCAGTGCATTAAGGCTCTGTCTGTACATTAAGGCTCGGTCTGTACATTAAGGCTCGGTCTGTACGTTAAGGCTCGGTCTGTACATTAAGGCTCGGTCTGTGCATTAAGGCTCGGTCTGTACATTAAGGCTCGGTCTGTGCATTAAGGCTCGGTCTGTGCATTAAGGCTCGGTCTGTGCATTAAGGCTCGGTCTGTACATTAAGGCTCGGTCTGTGCATTAAGGCTCGGTCTGTGCATTAAGGCTCGGTCTGTGCATTAAGGCTCGGTCTGTACATTAAGGCTCGGTCTGTACATTAAGGCTCGGTCTGTACATTAAGGCTCGGTCTGTACGTTAAGGCTCGGTCTGTACATTAAGGCTCGGTCTGTGCATTAAGGCTCGGTCTGTACATTAAGGCTCGGTCTGTGCATTAAGGCTCGGTCTGTGCATTAAGGCTCGGTCTGTGCATTAAGGCTCGGTCTGTGCATTAAGGCTCGGTCTGTACATTAAGGCTCGGTCTGTACATTAAGGCTCGGTCTGTGCATTAAGGCTCGGTCTGTGCATTAA